AAAAAAAAAAAAAAAAAACAACAAATATACAACTGAACAAATATTTCATGAAATAACGCTTACCCTTACCAAAATTGATGCACTGACATTTTTTATTCTGTTCTATTTCATTAAAAAAAAAATGCTAACCATGTCCTGCTACACTGTTTTCATTGTCTACTAATAGATTATGACCTCAGTTTGAAAAATATTGCTTTCTGTAAGCAGTAACCTCTTCTGAGATTAATATGGATTTTTCCTGATTCTTTCCTATTAAAAACACATTGCAGTGAGCTGCTTTATACTCATTTTGTGACTATTTCTAAGAGCAAGATCCCTGATTGTGTAACTGTTATTTACTTAAAATTCTGGTAAAATGTAACCAATATGCTGGAAAAACTAAATTCTAATCCCAGATTTGTCACCACTGTGATGTATAAACTTTGGGCAAGTCCCTCCACTTCTCTGGGCCTCAATTTCCCCAGCAGTAACCTGCTGTTCCTACACCCTGGTGTGCATTCTAAGTTGAAAGCAGATGCCCCACCCCCTGACTCAGCCTCCTGGCCCTTCTCCCCCCTTTCCGCTCCCTGTTCCTTGTTCCTCGGAAGCAACCCAGGGAGAAGGGGAAAGGCAGGTCTGGGCAGGAGGCGCAATGCAGGGCGGGGCAGAGGGAGGTAGGAGGGAGGCCAGCCCCCTAGTAGGAAATGAGGCAGAGTAGGAATAACACTTTATAAGCCGGACACCCTCTTTCTCCTCCCATTCCCTTGGCCTCCTTCCATCCCCTTCTGCTCAGCCTCCGCCCCTCCCAGACGGTCCTCACTTCTTTCTTCCCCAGGCTGCAGCCAGCGGAACCCCAGCCTGCCAGAGCCAGGAGCCCAGGTTCTCCAGCCTCAGGATGTTGACAACATTGCTGCTGCTGCTACTACTGCTGCCCAGCTGGGCCCTTTACAGCCAGGAAGCCTCGGATGGTAAGTCTGGGACATGTCTCCTGACCTGCAATGGTTCTGGAGAATCTATTTGGCTACAAGGCAGAAGAGAGATTATCCCACAGTGTCTGTCCTGGGGGCTGGTTTGCGTTCCAAAGTCAAGGTGAGGAAATACGTTAAGCCCCTGGGGAGAGGGAAGTGAGGGAAGCAGAACAACTGGGAAAATAGGAAAGAAACCAGCAGAGAGAATGAAGGGGTCAGCCTCAGGAGAGGGGAGAGAGAAGTGAAGCCCGGAGGCTGAGGGTGATGGTGAACAGGGGTAAGTCTCCGGAAGATGGAAAGAAAATCAGGGATGAGAAAAGAGATGGAGGGAATGGGAAAGTGCTGAGAGAACTGACAGAAACTTGGGGGGAGACTGGGGCTAAGACAGGTGAGGCATAGGAGAGGCTAAGGAAGATGGAGGAAGACAGGGTGCAGCTGGGGAGATGGGACCTGGGGAAAGAGAAGCGGTGCCCAATAGGAGAACACACGAGACATCAGGCTGTCTGAATTAGCCCCATTTAAGTAGAAAAGGGGAGTTATTACTCTGCATTCGAACTGCATGGGGGGGGGGCCTCTTCTCCCACAATCCCATAGCTTCACTCTCCCCCTCCAAAAAGGAGCAAATAATAACCGGTTTTCAACAAGTGCTTGCTATGGTTAATACACGTATTGACTCATTTAACTCCCATGAAACGCCAAAAGGTGGGTAGTATTGTCTCCATTTTACAAAGGAGGAAACTGAGTCACAGAGCAGTTAAGGACCACATCTAGGGTTACCCATACATATTCATACCTTCAGATACAGAGCACAACTTCTCATATACAGACACAGACAAGACACACACACAGATTTACAACTCTAGACTCATTCAAAGTTTCTCTAAGCACCAATTGTGCACAGGCCCCTTTCTGGGTGAAGGAGGCAGAGATAACCAGATATGGCTTCCTAACCTGGAGGAGATCAGTGTAGTCTGTGTGTTTGGAGACTGTCATTTAGAATCTAACAGGATACTTGGTAACACATGGTGGTCTGGAATCACTGAAACAGACCCACTGTGTTTGGGAGGAGAAAGGGGAAAGGCATCAGGAAGACTAAGAGGGCAACTGAGCTGAGTCTTAAAGCATGAATAGAAATTTGTTAGACATGGGGCAGCACCTGTGGCTCAAAGAAGTAGTGTGCCGGCCCCATATGCCGGAGATGGTGGGTTCAAACCCAGCCCTGGCCAAAAACTGCCAAAAAAAAAAAAAAGAAATTTGCTAGGCAGAAAAAGGAAGGAATAATAACCTGGACATGTTATTCATATGTCAGTCAAAGGCCGTGTGATGAACACCAACTAGTTCCATATATCCAACATGGGGAAGAGGCTGGAAAAGGCAGCTTGGGCCAGGTCCCAGGAGACTCAATGCCAGACTAAAGACTCAACTTGATCCTGGGGGCAGATCTCCTGTGGTGAGGCAGCGTAGCAAAGAAGTGGACAGTGCTGGATTGACTGCCTGCATGCAAACCTTGGCTCTACAACGCTGGCTTAGCTTCAGTGTCCTTTGTACACTGGGGTTAATAACAGTAGCTACTACATTACACCACTGGGAGGACGGCACAAACAGGATAATAATGTGTGTAAAGCAAATTGCCCAGGTCATAATAAGCACTTAATAGAATTAGCTATTATTTTTTTTGGATTTTTGAAGGGGGAGGTATGTCATTAGAAGAATTTAAGGAGAAAGACATGATTTTATCCCTGGGTCAGGTGGACCTCAGATTAGAAGGGGTGAAATGGAGAAATGATGGCAGGAAGTTACTGTCCCGGTCCAGAGAGAAGCGATGAGACTAGGCCAGTGGCAGAGGAGACAGAGAACAGGAGGAGATAGAATTGGGATTATATGGTACGCCAGGATTTGTTGACCAACTGGAAATGGGGGGGGGG